TACCGGGATGGAGTTTGCCATGAGTCTGGAAACTCTTTTACAATCCACACTCCATACCTCATGTGCCTCATCACTCATAATCCCCTTTGAGTAGAAACTCGAGATTTGAGTGTCCAGAATGTGCTCTAGGTAGCAATTTCGGAGGGTCTTTCGGAGTTCCTCTTCCCATTCCTTAAAGTTTACCAAGTTCAGAGAAATTGGCAACTTTTCGGGCAATTCCGGGAGAATAAGGTCGTTGACATTAGTTGAAGACATGATTCTACAATTGAAAGAATTTGAAATAAAAAACCATTCATTATACTTAAATAAGATTGAATTCATGCATTTTAATCAAACTTATTTAAAACGTCTAATTCACACATTAAAGATTGTCCCCATTTTAGGTGAGAATAAGTCGATTCCAAGATCCAAAGAAACAAAGAGTGGTTAAGCATGCTTTGGCTTGTCTTAACACTCAATCTCCTAAGGTAAGCAACGCTTTGCTAATGGCTCCAAGCCACTCTTGGTTGAATAAATCGTCGCATCCAATGCTCTCTAAACAATTTATTCACTTTTCCACGACATGTTAGGACTCCATCACTCATATCGTTGAGTATAACCAAAACCACCTTGCATACCCGGTATGCCTTACGTTCCTTGGAGAAGTAGTGATGCCTCGCTTTGGCGTAGCCCACCACTACCCTCGTTCGGTTGGTAAGTGTGTTTTAGAATGACAAGTTTTACTCAATATTTTAGGGACCTAGGGTTTCTATGTTGGTTGATTTAAGTGAACTTAATTAATCATCTCAACATTCGAAATCCTAAACATGCATCTAACATATAATTCATATATATATAAACATAAATATATATCGAAAACATAAATAGAGATGCATTTGGCAACTAGCATGACCCCTTGATATCTTCAAGTCTTCAAAAGGTCTTCATTTGCAACTTCATGGCTTTGTCTTCTAAGAACCCCGTCTTCAAGACTTGACCAAAACATTACAATTGCTAGTATCTACGATTAGGACTAATCTAAATATTAAGGTACAAAAATACTCAACGGTTCGCAGACCGTATTTAGATTTACAAAAATACATCACGGATCACAATCCGTATTTTCTATCCTAATTGGGCCCCACTAGTTGCCATTTCATAAAACATGTGAGAGAATTTTACATTCCATTCATCCATTCACTATCTGTGAATGGCCCATGCATTTTACAACGATAAACCAGTAACAATGCATAAAAGCGCGAGAACTAGTAACTAATCTAGGTGGTTAATCCAATTAACACGCCTAATTAAACTAGTCAAAGTTGTTTTAACCGGTTATGGTAATAACTTAGAGACGCTCCCACTAAATTCCGCATCCAACTTAACTAATCCAATTAATTAAGTCGGTGAACCCAAATATTTGCCAATATTAATTTTGCAAATGTCGCTCAAAACCCGAGGCCTAGCCTCCAAAAATTTTAATTAAATAAACAAAATAATTAAAATAATTAAAACGACAATTTAAGCAAAATACGTATTCCAAAATGTCTAAGTGCCTAGCAATAAGACTTGGAGTCCAAAAATTACCTTTACTTACATATTAAGCAACGCTAAAATTAACTTTAAAATAGCGTCGCCTTAATAACCCGGGGTTATTGTGCCAATTATGGGATTGTACGTACCGTACAACAAGCACGTAGTATGCCCATGCGCACCCCCGCAAAACCAAGCATGCATGTGGGCTGCTTGTGCTCGCATGCGCTACGCCCAGCCCAGCCAAGCGTAGCAGCACGCACAGCGCGCACAACATTATGCTGCTGCTTGCTGCTGGCTGGCGCGCTATGCTACTGGCAGCGAGCAGCAGCCCACGCCCTTCCTCGCACACACAGACGCACAGCACCACGCACCTAAGAATGAAGTGCCCAGCAGCCTCGGCAGCCACATATGGGTTGCGTGAGCAGCCCAGCTAGCCGAGGGCTAGCTCGGGGCTCTTAGGCCTCGTGTTGCGTGCTAATGTTTTGAAAATTATCGATTTTGTGTGTGACATTATAAATCAATTCTAAATTAATTTTAGAATCAATTTTGAGGAAAAATGAAAAATTACAAGTCCAACTTAAATAATTCATCCAAAAGCAATTAACCAAATTTATTTCCAAGAACCATTCTTTAATAAAATTGGTTTAACTTGGTGTAATAAAATAAATTAGGGCAATTCTCACTATTAAAATCACTTTAAATTAATCTTGAGATTTTGACAAAATAAAAGGGAGTTGGAAAAATGAACATAAGTTCAATAAAGACTCCAACTTTAATACTTGTGACTCCATGAAAAAATTATATCTTCCAATATGAAGATAAACCAATTTCAATCACAAGTTTTAAACTTTATGATTCCAATCAACTAAAAAATGATTTAATCAACAAAGTTTAACCAAAATTCATGGAATTTAGTAACTCAAGGTTTCAATCACTTATCATAAATAAAGATTGAATCTTTAGTAATTGGAAGCAACAAAGAACAACAATTTCACACTTAATGCAATTAATTTGCAATTATAAGAAAAAATAAAACCAAACTTTCAAGCACCAATTACTACCAAGTAATCATGCTTAAAGTGGTCTAAAATTGCATATAAATAAAGGCAAGAACCAAATTCATAACCACCATAAATATGCAATCAATTTTCAAGGTTAGAAAGACTTAAAATTTTTCGTCAAAACGAAAAATCCCTCGAAAACTACAATCTGGTCGTTTTCTGGCTAAAAACAGAGCCCTAAACAGATAAAACCATTTCCAGAACGCCTTTTCCACCCAAAATTCACTATTTTTGGGTCAAAATCTGGGTTCGGGAGCTGAAGACAGCTCTAATACGAGGTAAAATTGGAAAAACGAGTTACTAATCTAATTAGCAACTTAAAACCAGAAAAATTAAGCCATAAAAACACCTTGAAAATATTATGATTTTAAAAATAAACGAGCGAGGCTCTGATACCGCTGTTGGGGTTTGGTGAGTCCGACTCACCGCGGAAACAAACCCAAAAACAAGACCGCACTCGCAATAAATAAAACCATAAACATAATTATATTAATAACAAGATTAAGATAAGCTAATTACCTTTGACGCGTGCTTCACTCCAAAATGAGCTCTTACTTGAAAGCTTCAAGTCTCGATCACATGGAGACCTCCAACGAAGTCCACCCGCACCAACAAAACCGACTAGGTCCAATGTCTTAGGGTTAGCAAGACCCGACCAATAAAACCCGAGTAATTATATTGAGTTCAAAGGTTTTCACTAATTGTGATGCCTTTTCTAACTCTTACTCAAGCATCATTCCCAATGCCCATACTTGGGTATTTATAGGAAATGATGGGAGTATCATTTATTCTCCCATCAATGTGGGATAGTATGATTTTTCCATTTTATTTTAAAGCTAAAATAAAATTAATAATCAAGCTAGTAATAAATCAACAAGTGGCAAGCTCATATGAGTGGTTAGGTGAGGACCACTTGGAGAAGGGGGGGACCAAACTTGCTCCCCACTCCCTCTCCCATAACTGGCCACCTCACTCCACACACACTCAAGGACCACAAGCCACATGGCACCCACCCTTGGGCACCAAGGCAGCCAAGGTGGGCTGCATGTGCTGCTGTCCGTGGCATCCACGCCCAGCAAGCCCAGCAGGCCCAGCAAGCCCAGCATGCTTGTGCGGGCTGCTGCTGGCCTTGGCCAGCGCTGCTAGGCAGCAAGCAATGGCCTAGCCATGCTGCTGCTAGCTGTGGCGAGCTGGCGCGCCTAGCGTGCTAGCTGCTGCAGCTTGTTGCGGCATGGCTTGCTAGCCATTGCGCGCTCAAGGCTATGCCTAGCATGCTAGCATGCACTAGGCAGCGCCTAGCCTTGCGATGCTAGCATGGGTGCGCTAGCACGCACCAGCCAGCCTAGGCTCGGCTTGGTGCGCATGCTAGCCACCATGGTAGGCCATACACCCTTAGCACTTGGTTTGCTTGGGCATTCCGATGCTAGGGGTATTTTGGTCTTTTGTTGATTGATTACTATTTCTCGTCTCGTCTTTCACTATTTTTTGACTCGACTTCCGACGCTCGGTTTCGACGCTCTAAGCTCGAATTTCCGACGTCTAAATAAATATTACTCGGTCGACTCATTAATTCCTTCCGAATTAATTCGTCGGTTCGGTTTGTTGAATGCTTGGGTGTGACCCGAAGGGTTCAGTCAAGATTAATTTGTAATATTAATTATTCATTAATATTACTGATCGGAAGCGGGCTCCACCCAGGCATTTCGATCACTTGACCTCACTGAATATATTAGCTTTCTAATAATTCTGAACCCACTAACGGAATAGTACACTTGTTCGAAGGACACCATTCCTTTCACTCCGATGTTTACCTTATCTCGTAAGTTGGCTGTCATTTGGGACTGTCTTAAGGATTGGTGCCTATCACATCGGAAGTCTTGGGGTATTAACTAGAAATCCTTATGCTCGGATTTATCTTCTTGTTCAGCTCAGTTGCATTCTCCGGTCGCCCGTATCCTTTTTCTAAATACAAGAGAAGAGAAAGTTGCTGAAGCTACGACTTCTTTTCTCTATTGGAAACAGCGAGCCAAGGTTAAGTGGGATGCCTTAGGGGAGTTGCATTCCAGGTTACTATTTTAAGTTGTTCAAGCTCGTCGTCGTCGAAATTTGATTGTGAGTCTAAAAAATGATGATGGGTATTGGGTGTCTGACCCAGTGGGTATTCGTTCTCTTATTCAATCTTTTTATTCGGATTTATATTCTCCTGTGATGTGCTCTATGAATGAGAATTTGATGTATTGGGAAACTTTGGGCTTGCCTACTTTGTCTGTTTCACAACAGACTAATTAAATCTGCTATGTTCCGTATTGCTGATGATAAATCCTCAGGCCCAGATGGTTTCACCTCAGCTTTTTTAAGGCTCATTGGGAAGATATAGGCGATTATGTTACCTCTGCGGTTTAGTTTTTCTTTGCTCATGGGTACATGCTAAAGGAATGGAATCGCACCTTCTTAGTCCTTCTCCCAAAGGTTTCTCAACCAGAGTTAGTCTCTCAGTTTCGACCAATTGGGCTATGTAATGTGTTGTATAAGTGCATCGCCAAGTGTATTACTAATCGTCTTCGTGGGGTTCTCCCTACTCTTATTTCCGGTTTTCAAAATGAATTTGTGCCAGGTCGTCTCATCTCGGATAATGCCTTAACTGCTCATGAACTTTTGTCCTTTATGAATGCGTCAAAGGCTTGTAAGCGGTTTTATGCGGCTCTTAAGTTGGATATGAATAAAGCTTATGATAGAGTGCGCTTGTATTTTTTTATTCAAGTGTTACGGGCTTTTGGTTTTCCTCCCTACTAGGTTCGTATCATTAAGCAGTGTGTTACCACAGTGTCTTATCAGGTTCTTGTGAATGGTAGTCTTACTCCGTCTTTCTAGCCAAAGTGCGGCCTTCGACAAGGGGATCCTTTATCGTCGTATCTTTTTGTTCTCTGTATGGAAGTATTGTCGGCTTCTTTGCGCAGGGTGGAAGAACATGCCTTGTTTTCAGGCATTCACATTTCTAGAGGGGGTCCTTCAGTGTCTCACCTTTTCTTTGCGAATGACTCGCTGCTGTTTTTCCAGGTTTCTCCGCAGGCGTGTGAAAATATTATGAACCTTCTTTCTCAATTTTGTAGTTCTTTCGGTCAAATGATTAATCTTCAGAAGTCCTATGTCAAGTTTAGTCCGAATACTCCCCCTGACTATCGGGATTATTTAGCTCGGAGTCTTCGTGTTCAATCGAAACCCTCTTTTGGAACCTATTTGGGGCTTCCAATCGATCTAGGATGGAGTAAAGTTTCGGATTTCAAGTTTCTGATAGACAGAGTTGCTAGCCGATTGTCTGCGTTTGCCTCTCTCCGGTTGTCTGTAGTGGCAAAATTGGTTATTATTAATTCGGTGTTGGTAGCTTCTTTTAATCATATTTTGTCTGTTTTTAAGATTCCTTCATCTATTGCTTCTCATCTTGATAGTATGCTTGCTAGTTTTTGGTGGAGATCTTCAGGTTCTAGGAAAGGAATAGCTCTACGATCGGCTTCTCTCCTTCACTTACCAAAGGGGCTAGGTGGACTTGGTCTACATAGTATTGGATGTTTTAATTTGGATCTCGTAGCTAGTACTGGGTGGAGGATGATGAATAATCCTCAGTTGCTTGTTTCTAGGCTCATGGTTTCTAAATACCCCACTCTTTTTGCTTTGTCGGCGAATCGGATTACCCAAACCTCTTGGGGATGTCGTGGTTTACAGTCAGCCATGTCGGTTGTGGCTAAAGGAGTTCGTTGGAAGGTGGGTTGTGGTTCGAGTGTTCGCATTAAAGTTGATGAATGGGCTCCAGGGGGTTTAGTTTCGTTTAAGGATGGTTTATCTGAGTCGGAACTCCCGACTCATGTGTCTTCTATTATTGATCCACGTTTTAACGCGTGGGACTCCTTGAGGGTCCATCGACTTTTTGATGGTCCGACTGCCAGTCGGATTCTTAGTCTGGATCGTCCGCAAAATCTAATGGACGACTTTGTTTACTGGAAATTCACCAGGTATGGGTCCTTTTCCACGAAGTCAGCTTATTTCCTTTTTCTTCAACAGGACTCCTTGACGACTCCTGTGGGGCCCACTTCCCCTTCTTGGTGGCGGAAATTATGGGGACTTCCTATTCTACCTAAATGGAAGAGCTTTGCTTGGAAAGTAGTTCATTCTACTCTTCCAGTTGCTTCAACTCTGTTTGTTAGGGGGATTTCAGTTGATCCTATATGTTGTTTTTGTCACCGTGAGCCAGAGACGGTTGCTCATTTATTTCGGGGCTGTGATTTCATTAGCCTTCTCTGGGGTCGTAGTTCTTTAGGTTTTCATAGCCCTGGTCTTCATCGTCTTCCGTTCCTTAACTGGTTTTCAACTATGGTTTCTTTGTTTGGTGCTACTAAGGACTGGGTAGGCCTTATCAACTTCTTCTCTATTTTGTGGGCGATTTGTCTTTCTCGTAATAATGTTCGATTTCGACAATTGGATGTTTCCCCTACTAAGGTGTTGAGTCTTGCGTCCCAGTGGTGTGCTCGGGGTCATCAAGCTCAGGACTTTCGCCTTAAGTCGTCTAGTTTGCCTCTTCGTCCTAGGCTGTCTGTCACGACTTTTTCTGCTTGCTACGGTGGGGATCCTCTTTCGGGTTTGGATATTTGTTTGCTCTGTGATGGTTCTTGGTCTTCTGACAACTCTAGGTGGTGGTTGGATTTTTTCAGGATTATATTTCCCCTTTGGTGCTTGGTGGGGGTGCTTGCACTTCTCTCTCGTCATCTGCTTTACATTCAAAATTTCAGGCCTGCTTTTGGGGTTTACGTAGTGCCTACGGCAGGGGTTATCGTAGGATCCTTATTTACTCGGAATGTGAAACTCTGTGCTTAATTTTAGGCCGTCGTCAAAGGAGTGATATTTCTTTATGTTGGTTAATTCAAGATATCCATGCTCTTCTTTCCTTATTTGATGCTTATAGGATTAGAAAGGTTCCTAGGTCGTGGATTTCCCTAGCGCATTGGTTGGCTGGAAAAGCTCGTGCTCGGGAGTTTCTATGTTGATCTTTTTAGGTTGTTTGTTTTCTTCCTTTGTACTCACTATCAAAAAAAAAACCTTTGCACTTTGAATTGGTGCTGTTAGTTGATCTTATCAATAAAGTAAGACCTGAGTAATTAAGTGTGATTTACTTGCTTTCTTTATTATTTTGCCTAACTTCGATATTAATATTTTTAACCAGAAAAGGCGTAAGGGGACATCAAATATGAACATTGGTCGATCGACAAAGGGATATAACTAAGGACTGAAGAAAAGAAGAAAGTAAAATCTGGTGTTTGGTTTCCTGTAATCGCAATTGCTGGGAGTCAACCTAAAATGAAATAAGATGTTGAGACTATCTGGCTTTTTATATATATATATATATATATATATATATATATATATATATATATATATATATATATATATATATATATATATATATATGTTGAGACTGTCTGGGGTTTCTATGTAGTTTTTATATTTAATGTTAAGACTATCTCTAACATGGATTTCTATGTAGTAAAATTATCGTGGGTATTTTAATTTTAAGGTTGAATCAAAGGTTTGTTTTCAGAATCACAATTAGCAATATACGAATAATCATTTCGAAAATTATAGTAATGGACTAATAACTTAATAGCTGTCACATGATGCAAACCGTACAAAAAACAATATATGTCTTTTAATTCCTTCAACTATTAACGTACAAATAATGGTTCCAGTTATGTATACTTTCGAAAATAAGGTCTAATTGTTTGTCCTGCTTAAAGATTATTAATATTTACATAACAATGTATTTCTTTTGTTTTAAGAAGCACAATTAGCAATTTACGAATAATCATTTCGAAAATTATAGTAATGGACTAATAACTTAATAGTTGTCAAATGATGCAAACCGTACAAAAAACAATATACGTCTTTTAATTCCCTCAACTATTAACGTACAAATAATGGTTCCAGTTATGTATACTTTCGAAAATAAGGTCTAATTGTTGTACCAATTGGTTGTTGATGTATTGGTGATTGGGACTACACTTGGTAGGGAGGACTCGTGTTCGATCCCCCGCAATAACAATTAGGAGGGGACTGGAACTTAACCACCCAGAATTGATCCCCGAATCCGAATTAGCCCAAAGGGTGAACCGGGTGGAACACAATATATATATATATATATATATATATATATATATATATATATATATATATATATATATATATATATATATATATATATATAGTTTGTACATTACAAATCATCAAGTTGAATTATATTTATAAATATATATATATATAGTTTGTACATTACAAATCATCAAGTTGAATTATATTTATAAATTCTGTTAGTGGAGTGGTTCGATTAGAAATACTTTATATAAGATGAATTTTGTGGAATATTTATTTTGTCACTCCTTTAAAAAATCAAAATTTTATCACTCAATTATTTATAAATCAAAATTTTGAAAACAATTGACATCATTGAAATGAAATTACGCATGAATTGAATCCAAAGACTAAAGTTGAAATCTTAGATAGTGTTATTAATTCATGTTATCATATAAATTAATAAAGCTATTATTTATCAAAGTTCATTTTTTTAAAAATTTAAATAAAATTACAGTAAGTGAGTTCATCGAAATTAAAGGATAGTGATTTATATCAATGATTAAAATTAACATATTAAGGACTTACATCGTGTCCTTAAATTTTGTTAATTTCTTCATTCTTTGTAAAGGTTGGTAATCACAATTTTACATCTTTATTACCTTTATAATATCTCTTAAGAGTGTCACTAAACTTCATGCTTTGTCAGAGTACCTTTCCTATTTCATTATAGTCTCAGTAAAGATTATGCATACTATCTCTAGTTTAAGCTATGTCAAAACAAAAAGTAATTCTATTTCCTCATTAATAATGCTATCTTTAAAGAATTTTCTAAACTTTTTTTTATCAAGGTTGCAAATTTTATTTCACAAACTTTAAAAAAAATCGGGTGTACAATAATTATTGCCATCCATTATAAAGATAGGCTAAAGTGATCAAAAGTTACTCCTGAAATGAATAAAAGTTACCCCAATATGCATAAAAGTAATCCAATACAAATAAAAATTATCAACACTTTATTAGTAAAGAATCACATTTTAAATGACTAAAAATCAATTATTAGTGATTGAATGTAATTAAATTATCATTATAAAACTTTTCTTGTTGTCTATTTATATAAAAATTGTATTATGTTTAAAGTTACTTAAAAAAGGCAAAAAATTACTCTAAAATTAACTAAAAGTTACCCTTATACGGCTTGATGTACACTAATATTAGTGTGAATCGGGTGTATATAAAAGTTTTCCATTTTATTTATACAAAAAAAATTATAGTATCATACATGTCATTTTTTTTCAGAAACTACCTTTTAAAAGGATTTTTTTTTTGTGAGAAACTACCAAATTAAAAAATGTTGTTAGAAACTAGCTTTTAAAATAAAAATGTTGTAAGAAACTATCTATTGAAGTAAATAATGTTGTTAAGAAAACTATTATTCGTCGGATTTTTGTCTTTGATTAATTTCTCCGTCGTTGACCACCCTCAGCTGGTCACATGATATGTGGCATGTTGGTGGGGGCATGAAAAAATAAAGGTTTTCAAAAAATTCACGTGATTTGCAACTGTGTGGTAAACGTCGGAAAAAATAGTCAATAGTAAAAATCTAATAAAAGGTAGTCTTTCACAATATTTTCATTTTAATAGGTAGTTTCTTACAACGTTTTTTTATAAGGTATTTCCCCCAAAAATTGGCTTTCAATAGGTAATTTTAAGATAATATTATAATATAGTTAGCACAATGTAAACATTTTGACCGTACACGTAAATTACCTTCTTGTCCAAGTTTGTGACAGAAGTCTTTGCATGCATGTCCAACTACAATGTCAAAGTATACATATCTGACAATACACGTAACCTACCTTCTTGGGGTCTTTACATGCATGGTCAACTAAAATGTCAAAGTGTACATATCTGATCGTACACGTAAACTACCTTCTTGTCCAAGTTTCCGAATTGAAAGTAGTCTTTGCATACATGGTCAACTAAAATATCAATGACATCACTTATTGTATCTGTTTCATTACTTAATGCATAGTTGTAGCTTGCAAAATTAGTCAAAACTAATCATCATATCAAAGGGTTGAATGCACCCATGTTACTTTAGTCTAACATGCATTATTGAAGTCAAAGTAAGCTTTAAATATCCTACTCTGTAGTCTGTACTATAATGTGGCTAGTATTGCAAGTTGCAAGTAATAAATTTCATACCCATTAGTTTGTTTGAATAAAATAATAAACACAACATTATTAGTTTATGTTTTAATAACTAAGCCAGATTAGCTAGTGTATGAAAGCATTTGTGAATGATAATTTACATATTTCTATAATTTGGACATTGTACATAATAATGTTACAAGCTGTAGCAGTATAATTATTTTTTTTTTTTTACAAATACTTGGTACATGAATAATAATGAATGTCACAATTGAGTAACGCGGTATTTTGTGCTCGCGTAAATTTTAAATAGATTATTTTGTAACACTCATTGTTGTGTTGTAAGACCAACCAAAAAATAATTCATTTCGTATATCGATTTGGAGTATTTAAAATAGGAAGAACGAATAATTATTTAAATTGTTATACTCCGTATAATTCCACTTATTTTATAAACTTAACATAATATGAAGGAATCTATTAACCTATACTAAAAGAAAATCCTTCCATGACACTCCTTGTCAATACCTTGTGAAAAAAAATTCTGCTTCCTTGCATTTTTTTAACAAAAAAAAAAGAGTTTAAATTTAATACTAAGAAAAATGAAAATGCATTTATAAATCCTAAAGCAAATACTAAATTCTTGTGGTGACTAATACATGTGGAATGATTTGAGTAGTTCAATACAAGAAGAAAAAAATAAATAAAACAATAGCAAAGATTCTAGCCGGATTCAAAGTTTCAAACTCTACTCTATAGAGAAATATTAAAAACAATCTGCAAACTTTATATAAAAATTAAGCCAAGGGGGAGGCCATGGCCTACCCCAGCCCCCCCTGGCTCGGCCCATTCGTCGGCACCTACTGGCCTTGTTTAGGGTAAAAATACCTAGACACGTGGACCAATGAGAGGAGTGTTTTAGGTGTTTTTGTCCCTCGGGAGAGTTACAACACAAAGACTGGTCTGGTGCGGCCTGTACCTGCAAAACAAACGGAGACACCGGTTGGGTGGTGCTCCGCCTCCAACGAACAAGTTAGTAACTTGAAGGGAGAGAAAAAGGTGCGGAAATTTAGGTGGGTATCTGCTCGGATTCCAAGCTCAAGATGTCTCTATCAAAGAGTAAATTGTGTAATAAATGGTAAAACGTGCCCTGCAAAAGAGGGGAATCCCCCTATTTATAGGATCCTCGGGATTTGTGCCCCTGATTAGGTCACTGAACCCTAATCATTGGTGGGCTGCGCCGCGTTGCGGATTTCTCGGGATTTGGGCCTGAAGGCCGCCATTTCCCCCAAGTTCCTGGAGTGACACGTGTCAAGCAGAGATAGGTCCACTCTGGGCCATCCTGGGGCTGACATGTGTCATCCTCTGATTGGACCACATGGCAGGGTAAAATTACCCTAAACATTTGCCCCTCACAGATGTGACGTGGCCCGCCACGTGGCATCTGTGACATATGTCACGCTCCGGTTGGTGGTAATTTTACCGCCAAAAAGTAATTGTTCACCTTCTGAGTAAATTACGAGGATGCCCCCGAATTTACCCTCTATATATAGCCGTTTATCCTCATAATTTTGTATGTTTACAAAAATTTTCAAGAG